GAAGGTGCATATCCAATAAGTTCCCAGGGAATGAGGATCCTCAGGGGTTGGTAGCAAATTTTGAGAACCACCGACATGAGTGGCTATAGGCAGTGGGGTCAGGCTGCCTGGATTTGAGTTAAACCCAACTCAGCTGCCCATTGGCTGTGGGACCTTGACAAGCCAGTCTCCCTGCGAATTCGTTTCCTCATCTGACAAGAAGCATGAGAATGCTAATAGCTACCTCCTGGGTTTCCTGAGAGCCAAGCAAATGGGAGCGCAAAGCAGCGCCCAGCATGTAGGAGGCACTTCATATGCATTAGCTGTCAGGATCTGGAACATCTAAGCATTTTGCAACGAGCAATACTAAATGTGTGCGTTTATAAATAAGAAACGATGAGTAAGAAAAGGTCACTGTGTATTTTTGCAGATTTAAATGTTTGCATATGATTTTAAGGACTCACAGACCTCTGAGAGCTTATTCTGCTTAACACCTCTGGTTTACTAGATGACAGTCACAACGGCTTTTGAGGCTCTGCTGTGTTACATGAAGTGTGGCAGGTAATTCATATATTAAATCACTTGATTCAATCCCCACCGTCTTCATAAGGCAGTTATCATCACCATCATTCTATTTTACAGACAAAATAATTGAGGCTCAGAAAACTTCCCGAGGGTGTGTTGAAGTCAGGATCTATACCTGGGCCTGTCAGCCCGTGTGTCTTACTGCCTCTTCCCTTCCTGGCAATTACTGTGTCATCACTTTACCTAGAAGAACACATATTTAGCAACAGCTAAGTACTCAGCCCTCTAGGGCAGTAATGAAAGGTTTCTCTTGACCTCAAACAAGGTAGATCCAATGGAGGCATCAACAGGTACATATACATATGCAAAACAGTACAGAATTACAGGCCAGATAATGGGCGTGGCAGCAGTATATGAGGTTTTCTTGATAATCATTTGCTCTTCACATTTCTAGCCTCCATTGCAGGTGGATTAGAGTCACATGACTGGACTCCAGCCAATGAATGGGTGTGCGTGTGATGTAAGTTACTTCCAAGACTGACATAAAAAAAGTCACATTATCATTCATTATCTTGCCTTATAGCAGTGATTTCAGAAGCCACATATTCCAGGTGGCTAGCTCAAGATGGAGGAGGAACATCCAAATGATAGCAGGTTGATTCAGGAGGGGGAAATGACCCTCTGTGGGTTAAACCATGGAGAGTCACTGAAACATGATATCTAGTAATGGGATAGGTGTCGTGTTCTGGGAATATTTGTAAGTCTTGATGCCACATCAGTAGAAGGCCCTAATTTAGACCTAGTAAGTCAAGCTATATAGGGAAGGCCCGGGGAGTCCTTATTTTTAATAAGGAGATATTGAGAATCGGCCAGTTTGGGGGAGCCTGGGGCTGTGGTCTGCTATATCCTTCAGAAAATGTCCTACAACACAAGCACCATCATGTGGCCTTCTAGAAAGCAAGTTTGGGGCCGGTGCCTGGGCTGAAATCCTGCCTCCACCTCCTGCTAGTTATGTAACTTTTGGGCCATTTGAGGATCTACTTTATAGCACTGTTGCAATGATTAAATCTATTAGTTATCTATTACTACCTAACAAGCTACCTCAAAAGTTAGTGGCAAGGAACATCAATAACTATCATCTCTCCCAGTTTTTACATGACAGGAAGTCAAGGGATTTCCAGTGGGCAGTGCCAGCTCAGAAACTCTCATGAGGGTGCAGTCAGCTCTTTGTTGGTGTTGTCTCATCTGCAGGCTCATGTGGGGACTTCATGCATTCCACTCCCATCCTATACTCTCTTAGTCACACAGGTCAGCCCGAATTCCACGTAGGAGGGGACTAAATAAGGAGAGTCTGGAGACAGGGACCTCTGGGGGCCATCTGGATAAACATTTCCAGTAATACCTGAAATTCTTCAAATGATGCCAGACCTGTAATTAGCATGCATTAAACATTAGCTATTTTTATTGCTAATGGAATAATCGATAAACTAGCTGGGAGCTCCAGCTCCTCCACCATCTTGGAACTCTTCAGTCATTCCTCAACAGCTCCCCTGAGCTGTGTGCATGTCTGTGTGACTATTGTGCTAGGCTGTGTGCTGGGCACTTGTCTCCAGAAGGCAGGATTCCCATCTGGGTACCTGGGTAGCCCTGGTATGGAAATACTATTGTGAAATGCTGGGAGCCAAGGAAGAAGAAGATGACTAATAATGAATTCTTATATGGGGGTGTCACATTTAACAAGACTTGTTCACGTTGATTATCTTGCTTCAGTGACAAGTGCTGGGGTGGTAAAGCACACGAAGTCTGGAGTGAGACTGCCTGGAACAAATCCAGTTCTCATTTTACTCACTCTGTGACCTTGGACAAGTTACTTAACTTCCCTGGATCCCAGTTTTCCCATCTGTTACAAATAGGGATAATAATAGCTCTTACTCTACAAAGTTGTGTGAATTTAATATTCTAAGCATTGAAAATGCTCAGAATAGGGTCTGGCTGATAGCAAAGTTTCAAAAATACAAGCTATTGGGCCTCCTTGGTGATGCAAGGGTTGGGATGCAGCCTATGGGGCAATCTGCAGCCACTGCAGTGTGAGTTCGATTCCCAGCCAGCGAGGGAGGAACCCACCTGGTGCAGTAGACCTCTCCTGGCTCGCCCGCTGCTCCCCTCAGCAGTGCGCTTCGGTCAATCTGCCTGTTCTGTTCCCCACTCTGTCTCTGGTGAATCCTCTCCCACACCCCCCACCTCTGGCCTGTACCCCAGTTCTTGTATGCATAGGTAAATAAATCTTTAAAACAAAAACAAAAACAAAAACAAGCTATTATTCTTCCTTCCAAGTCATCCTGAGGAGGAGGTCAAGGGCAAGATAAAGAGACAAGGAAGTGGGGGCCTCCCTGGTGGCGCAGGGGTTAAAGTCTGAGCTCTATCAAGCTATTACCAACCACTGCAGCCTGAGTTCTATCCCTGGCCAGCGGGCTAACTCACATGGCACAGCAGACCTCTCCTGTCTCTCCTGCTGCTCCCCTCAGCAGAGTATTTCAGTCAGTCTGCCCGTTCTGTTCCCCACACTGTCTCTGGTGAATCCTCTTGCCCCCTGCACCTCTGGCCTACACGCCAGATCTTATATGCACTAACAAATAAAAATAAATCGTTAAGAGACAAGGAAGTAAAGAAATGTGTGAGCTGCTCAGACCCCCTCCTCCTCATCCCTAACTCCTCAATAATTCCAAGGCAAAACTGGTGTTCATAAGAGACTTGCCTTCAGGACTTGCCCCCAGAATCCCAGACTTTATTAGGAGTGGAAACCACTGGGAAAGCTTCACTGGGAGTGTCTGGGATGGCAGGAGTCGGGGCTGGGCATCCTCAGAGGCACGGGCCCCCTACTTCTATGATGGGGTTCTGGTAGCTGGTTCCCCTCCTTCCATATTTTCTAGCTTTGTGTCCCTTTGTTAGTTCCTTTTGTTTATTTCAGATTGTAACAGGGTGGTCCTGGGAGATGGGGCATTTCCAAGATCCCTGCTGAGCTTCACCCTTCCTTGAGTGGGGCAGGGAACTTGGAAACGCCCCATCTCCTGAAACCACCCTGTTACAAGACTAGTTCAGGGGTTCCTGAGCACATCTTACCTTCCTTTGATGACTGAGAACAAGGAAGGCAGGGCTGGACTGAGGGGCCTGGCCATGGGGCAGTTGGAGGGGGCTGGGCTAGGAGCAGTTAGAGGAAATCAAAGGAAAATTCCACACTGGGGAGAGAGGAGCCCATCAGCTCCAATTTGTGAATGTTGGTTCTATGTTTCAGAATCCAAAACCATGAGGCCACTGGACCTCCCACCTAATGAAAGTGCTTGCTGAAAGGTTCCTAGATTGTGATCAAGATACAGATCCTGTGGGGCTCTCCAGAGAAAGGAGTTCAGTTCTAGAATGTGGGCTCTCCTTAGTGAAAATGACAAGGAAGGGTCATGCTCTCCTGGATCTTGCCTTCTAGTGGGAGGAGACAGACCACACCCAAGGAGAACATCTCAGCAAATGTGCTAAGGACCAAGAAGCCAGTGTGGAAGGTGTCTGAGGGGTACTTTGGACTGGGTTTGAAACAGGGTGCTCCCCAGGAAAAGGGGAGTTTCCATTTCTTTACTTCCTTGTCTCTTAAAGATTTATTTTTATTTGTTTGTGCATACAAGATCTGGGGTGTAGGCCAGAGGTGCAGGGGGCAAGAGCATTCACCAGAGACAGAATGGGGAACAGAACAGAACAGTTTCCTCCACCCAAGGGCGGGTGGAGCTGAGCAGGGATAAGAAAAAGCTGGAGAGAAGACTGAAAGGGAAGGAAGCAGGATGGAAAGCCAAAAGGTAAGCTGAAGAAGGCACAAGGAGCAGAGCGACACTTGAAGAAGCTGCGCTTGCTTCTTGGTCCTGGACTGGTTGGAACAGATGTGGGTGGGAGACCCGTGGGGAAGTTAACCATGGCAGCTTTTATCTTGATTTTGATTTTGCTCTTTTCCACCCAGACTTGTCTGCTTCTGACCCTTTTCTATGGGTCCCTGCTGGAAGGTGCTTTAGTCCTGTGGCAGGCTTTTGGGCCTTGCTCTGGGCCAATCCTGATTGACAGGACATTTACCCACGAGGGGACAGGTAACTTTGGGCGCTTCATTTGGAAACTATATTCTTTGGCTTTTCCATATTATACACTAATTATATTAAAGTTCCTTTCCATTAAATGTCTTATATGTTTTGTCTTGATGTGGCAGATGGCAGAACCTATTTAGAGTGGGCAAGTTTTGGGGCTCTAGGTTGCCCTTCTTCCTGCCCTGTAGCAGCTTGTATAGGGTAAATGAGTTAAATTTTAAATTTTAATTTTTTAAATGAGGCTTTTTACACCCTCCTGCCATTAGCCTCTTTGGCTGACTCCACCTTGCACGCAGACCTGTAATCACGGACACCTGGATCCAGAGAGTACGGGGCATGCGCAGATGTAAATGGGGGACACCTGTGCCGAGGGGCGAGTGGCTATAAGGGCAGCATCATTCTGAGGCATGACTACAAGAGAGAGGAGACAGCCAGAGACATGCTGGAAGAGAAATCTGGTCCATCTCCTGATTCAGCATTAGAGGTCTGTAAGTATCTACTGAAGACTCCAGAATTCTCTTTTCGACTGCAAGAGCTGATAATGAACCTACAGGGCTTGGGGGGGTTGCATGACACCCCTGAAGGGCTTGGTAAAGATAGTTTGGTAAAGAATGGATTTTAGTGGACAAAGTAGAATGGGGAAGCCTCTTAGGGGGACTGTAAGAGTCCCATAAAAGGGGTCCTTAACCCGAGCTTGTGCAGACAGTGGAACTGCAGGAAGTGGGCAGGCTGGAGCTGTGTGCGGCTCTGTGTAGGGTAAGTGAAATATTATCAGGCTTTTCCCGCACTCCTGCCATTAACGTTAATGATGGATTCCTGCGGTCCCACACGCACGCCTGATGGCAGGCACCTGGAGCAGAGTGTGGGCATGCATAAGTGGGCACACCTGGGCTGAGCCTGGGCTTATAAGGGTGGTGTCACAGGGACGCCAGTAGAAAAGAGTGGAAAGAATAGCAGTGGTGGAAGCAGCAGAGACAGTGGAGACACCACCAGAGAATGCCAGTGAGCCCAGAAAGAGTGAAGATTCACCAGGGGGGCCCCTGCCTCGTAAAAAGCTCAATAAAAGCCTGAAAAGCCACCGAGGGCTCCAGGACTCTCCTTTGCCTGTCTGCCCGGATCATAGAGATCCTGCTTCTGAGCCTTCCTGCCCCTGAACTCTGGGACCAGGAGAACATGCTGAGCAGGTGGGGCTGAGGGAAGGACAAGCCAGGCGCCAGAGGGGGCTGGGGCCGCGGAGTGGGAGAGATTCCATCATGGGCCCTCATGCCTCTGATATTTTTGATCTTGGGATTGTATTCCCAATTTAAAAATTTAAGTAAAATGAACCTGACACTAAAATGAAAACATTTTTCATCACTGAGATCCCAAAGGCCAAAGGCAGGACAGTAAATGCCAAGGCCCCACCCCATGTTGTTTGCCAAGACAGGGCTTGGAAAGGAGGCACTGAACATGTTTTGAGGATTTAAAGATCAAAACCCACCTTAAGAGTGTAGCAGAGTTGGGCCTCCCCGGTGGCGCAGCGGTTGAACGCTGGGTTGCGAAGCTGCCCGCAGCCTCTGCGGCGCCGGTTCGATCCCTGGCTGCTCCCCGGCCACCAGAGGAGGGTCCCACATGGCGTGCAGACCTCTCCTGCCACCCGCTGCTCCCCTCAGCACTGTACTTCGGTCCTTCTGCCTGCTCTGCTCCCCGCTCTGGCTCTGGTGAATTCTCTCACCCTCCCAGGCTTCTGACTGTACCCAGTGCTTGTATAAACAAACAGATAAACAAACAAACAAATAAATAAATAATACATGCCTCTTTTAAAAAAAAAAAAGAGTGTAGCAGAGTTGGAAGGATTATATCTAGGAGATTGGAAATGGAGAAAATTTATTTGGAGGGAGATGCTGGTGGGTTGCGGGTCCCCTCTGCTCCCCAGGGATGGATGAAGATGCTCCTCTTTCCCTCTTCCCCAATCCTAGGCACTTCAGAAGGCTTTTGACACCTTGACCCGGGGCCCTGGAGCCTCCGCCTCAGAGGTGGCGTGGACATATATTCTGTGCAGGCCTGTGCTGGAGTCCCAGGACATCGTGTTGAACAAGAAAGACAAGTTTCATCTAATCACGGTATGGCCCAGTCAGGTGACCATAAGTTAAACAAGGACATGCATCCATTCATTCAATTAATAAGACTCTGTATTGGGGAGTGGGAAAGAAATGAACAGGATGCTGTAGTGGAGAAGAAAAGGAGGAATCTTCTTTAGAGAGAATAACCTGGGAAAGTCTCTCTCAGGAAGTGACTTTCTATTGTAGCTGAGCCTTAACGATGAGATGAGAAGCTGGTCTCATGAAAAGGAGGGAAAGTGTTCCTGGCAGGGTGGGGGTGGGGGAGCCCCAAGTGCCAAGGCCCTGCAGCAGGAAACTGCTTGCAGGCCCCTTGGAACTGTCGGAAGGCTGATGCGAAAGGAGTGTTGAAGGAAGGAACATGAGGTCAGGAGGCTGAGGTCAGCAGATGTCATCATGCTCTAGAGGGCACAGAGGAGTGAGGTGCTCGGAAATAAGCTGGTGCAGAGATGGAGAGAAATGAACCGATGGAACTTTATTTGGGAGCCAGAAACAAGAGGACTTGCTGGTGGATTGACAGGGGTGAGGATGGGGCAACATCAGGGAGACGGAGGAGGCAGTGATGTCTTGCACTTTGCTGGCTGGAGCTGTTACTGCTGAGATGCAGAAGACCAGGAAGGGGTGGTGCCAGTTTGGAGGATAAAACAAGAACAAATTTACTTTACGGGAGCATTGTGAAGGCTGGACTTGGGGAAAGACAAGCCCAGGACAGGGAGCCCAGTTAGGGGTCGGTCCAGTATTCCAGGTGACAGGTTACCATGAGGGTGACCTTGGGCACTACAAGGAGGATGGTAGGAAAATCGATGTTGCTGCCAACAGAGCAAAGAGAGGAGTTTTCCGCCTCTTTAAATGCCATGAATTTCTGCCTGCAAGGTGACTGAGCAGGCCAATCAGGAAAGAGTTCTTTCTGGAGAACACTGAAGTGAAACCACCATTTGGAGAGGAGTGGAGGAGACGGATGTGGAAAATGGGGTCAGGAGGGAGACCAGGCGGAGGCTGCAGCAGAGTGCGTCTTCTGCAGGCGGCTGCTCGACATGGGACAGGGAGAACTGGCTGTGCAACATCTGTGCCCGAGAGATGGGCATCCTGGGAAACAGACGGCCGGGCAGCCACACCAGTGCCTCTTGGCTAACCAGAGGCTGCACTGGGAAAACAGTGACTACCCTACAGCCAGGTGACTTTGTGCAAGGTTTAGGACAGAGCATTCAGAGAGGGTCCAGGCACAGCAGGTGCTGGGATTTCCCCCTCAGTGCTGCTAATACCTCGCCCTTGAGCTGAGTTCCCAGCTGCACCAACTGAGACAATCTCTCTCCTCCTTGAACCCCTCCCTCCACCTACCCCCCTCTAGCAGAGTCCCTTCCAGTCTCTGAAATTAGCCAAGCCAGCAGGGAAGGAGGTTGGCCTGGCAGCAGTGGGAGAGAAAGAGGTATACCCCCTTATAGGCAAAAGGCAGTGGCTGGGGGACAGAGGAGTGGCCAGTCAGTCAACCCTAAAGCCTGTTAGACCATTTATTCATACATTCACTCACTCACTCATTCATGCCTGTATTTATTCAACAAACACTCGCCGAGCATGTACAATGGCAGGCAGCAGGAGCTGTGGACAATACAGCAAGCAACTCAGTCTTTGTCATCAAGAAAAGGCAGGTCAAGAACTGGTCGATGTTGACCATAAATCCTCTGGCTCTTTCTTCCTCACCCTGTCCCCTGCTTCGCTTCTTCCTAGTCAGAGCTGTTCAGAATCACCACCCCAGGCCCATCTCTCTGGTCCCTGAACTCACACTGTTTATTGTGCCTTCTTTAATCTTGTTTCATGAGACTAAAAACGTAGGCCGAAATCAAGTTATAAAGAGCACCGAATGACATTTCTCAGTTTGACCTTTCATTCTGAGGACATCGAGAAGATATTTAAGCATTAAAGGCAAGAGAGTGGCATTAGATTTCCATTTAAAAAAACACCTGCAGCCACAATGGGGAGGATGGGGCAGAGAGAAGGATGAGAAGCCTGGAGGCAGGGAAGCCATTTAGGAGGCCTTTGGAATAAACCAGGAGAGAGAAGACAAGGGCCCTCGCCACCCCACCCCTACCCATCACAACCAGCCTACTCTCAGAGGAGAACTGAGGAGTCTCCTGGCCTGCAGGAGGGTTTGCCCCAGCAGAGGTGTCTGTGGTGTTTGAAGTTGGACTGGACAGCTTCTGTGTTGTCAGGAAAAATCAACTTAATTGCTTTTTTAAAGCAATGAAGAAACTGAGAGTTGGCTCCAAGCCAACCTGAATTTGAACACTCACTCCCGTCTTGGTCACTCAGGACGATAAAGCCTGTGGGCTGGGAACTGGACTTTTGGTTCCATGAACAAAACCTTCTTCAGAAGAGTTGGGGCCCACCAGCACTGGGATTTCTGGGATAGCAGCAATGAAGAGACAGTGGGTACTTCTGTGACTGGGTCTTGAGCACAGGCACAAATGGGCTCCCTGGTGGACCTGCCATGCCCCTCTTCCTCCTCCTTCGTGTTTACTACCCTGAGACTAAGGGAGAGAGTCCTATAAATGAAGGGGCCTGGATCTGCAGGCTTCTCAGTAAGTGTCTCTTCTTGCCAGGGTTCTAGGAGAAGCCTGCCCACACCCACACCCTCCCCACTCCTTCCTGGTCTTTGTTTCCATCCTAGGCCAGGGTGGGACCATAAGGAGAGCAACTGCGCCATCTGCTGGGCCTGGTTCGCAAGTACCTACTGCACCCAGGTGAGGAAGAGGTCCGTGTTTCCCTTCTGCAGTGGATTTTGGGCATATGAGTCCTGGCTCACCAAAGAAGGCTCACGAGTGACAAGTGACCTCTGTAGGAGTGACCCTGGAAAGAGAACCTCATTTCTTCAGGTGGCAGGAAGCTTTCATGCTATTGTTAGTCTAGGTATTGGGGGTACAGTGGTAAACAGTAGGATGGGGGTGGGTGGAAGGCAAAATATAGACTAGTAAAAGGCTGTGTGGTAAGAGAAATGAGTTGACTTCCAGGGCCCCTGTTAGATACTGCTGGATATGGAAGGATGAACAGGAGTTCGTAAGGTAAAGAAAGACATTCCAGAAAGAGTGCACAGCAAGGCCTGGAAGTGTGTGCTCAGGCTCAGGGGTGCCCCCTCCTTTGCTGCCTCCTCCTCCAGTTGAAGAGAACGCATGACCTTCACCCTGTAGGTCCCTAACCTCTGCGGCAGAAGATTCTTACTCTCCCCCCAGGGCTCCCAGCTGCTCCTCCTCTTACCCAAGCAAAATTACCGTGGCCAGGAGACTTCTGTGAGCAGACATCCCCACACTCATAGACCCCAGTGAGTTAAGGCCAGAAAGCATGGCAGCAAGAGGGGAGAAGGGTCCTAGTTGCCACGGATACCACTGCAGGTGTTTGAATGAAATCACCTGGGGTGTAAGAGGGATACTGCTGAGAGATTTAGCAAGAGGAATTCAAGTCAACTTGAATTCCATCACTCTGCCTTTCTAATCAATTTGATATAAATTCAACCATCATTTACTAATACAGATCAAATGACCTCTGTGAGCTTGTGGAAAGTAAGACCCAAATGAAGAGTTACTGGGCCTCCCCAGTGGCGCAGCGGTTGAGCGCTGGGCTGTGAAGCTGCCCGCAGCCTCTGCAGCGCCGGTTCGATCCCTGGCCACTGGCGAGAGTCCCACATGGTGCGACAGACCTGTCCTGCTGCGTCCGCTGCTCCCCTCAGCAGTGTATTTCATCAGTCTGCCTGTTCTCCCTGCTCTGGCTCTGGTGAATTCCCTCACCCTCCCGCGCTTCTGACTGTACCCAGTGCTTGTATAAATAAATAAATAAATCTTAAAAAAAAAAAAAAAAAGAGTTACTGCTGTGGGCAGCCTACTGTGTGCTCAGCCTTGTGAGCTACTACAGATACCAAGGTGAAGAGGCGTCTCTCCACCCTTAAGAGGCACCCTATCCCCTCACCACCACCACACACCCACCCACACAGACATTCTGTTCTCTTCTCTTCCTCCAAGAAGCTTGTTCCCAGGAAAGCAACTGATAAATTAAGCCACGCTGAGCTGTACTCAGCCAAGTAGGTGTTTATGACTGGGTCTGTCAATTGTCTCTCTCTAGTTTCTCTTTTATACTACGAGACTTACTCCCCGGCCTTGCAAATTTTGGCTAGACATGTGACTGGCCAGTCAGAAATTGTATTTTCCAATCTACCTTGTACCTAAGTTGTACCATGTGATTGTAGCCAGCTGGAGATGAGTGGAAATGGATGACTCGTGTTTTTTTTCTTCTTCCTCCTTCCCCAGGGGCTGGGATGCAGGCTTAGAATATAATGGTGAGCAGGCCCTGCTCACAGGGATGAAGGCAACAGTTGGTAGTTGGGGAAGCGACGAGGTAGAAGGAACCTGGGTCTCTGGAGCAGAAGCATCCAGTCTCTTAAACCTTCTATCAGCCCAAACTTCTTTATGAGAAACAAAATAAACCATGGAAAATTGGAATTTTGTTAAAGCAGACTCAAATTAATATCCTACTACTATGACTCACTCCCAGAAGTTGAATAAGCCAATGAACAGCCTGAAGGAGGACCTTTATCAGATTCCTGTCACCCCCCAGCACATCTATAACAATGACCCCAGTACCCTCTGATACTCCAAAGTGTTTCTCAATTCATTGATCATTCAGTGGACTAGGCAGACTTTTATTTCACCATGGTCTGTCTCAGGTCACATGGCTGTTGATACCAACAGCCAAGAAAATGGCAGGAGGGCCAGATGTTTGGGCCCCTCCCACTAGCTGGTTCTCTACACAGTGGGTGCTCCATGCAACAGTCATTCATCTAGTTCTGTGGTCTGGCATTTACCAGTTTCCAGGAAGTAAGTCCAGGGTGCAAGAGGCTCTCCACTATTTTGTTCAGTAAGCTGAGATGTTATCAAAAGTGAGAGAGGGCTTTTATTTTTAAAAAGATTTTCATCTAGCAATCGTTGACTACTTGGCATTTTAGAAGTTTTTCAGTAGCTGAACATTCACGAGAACTGTCATTGTTGACTTCCAAATACTGACAATTCCTATACTGTCTTTTACCTGCACAATGTTGACGTTCATACAACTTCTCTCTTGCTCTCCTTTCTGTGCCTTGTCACTTTAACAACTGTCCTAATAGTATTTTCTGGTTGGTGCCAGGGAACCCTAATCTCCATGGAGAACCAGTCTTCTGTTGAGGAAATGTCAAGAGCTCTAAAGGTAAGTCTGAGGAGCTAACTTTGTGTTAACCCTGGACTCGGGAAAGCCTCCAGAGTGGGCTTCTCTGCCTCACCTCTAAGTGAAGGGAACAACTTGGGCAACAACTTGCAATACTAACGAGCAAGGTCTGGAATGGCTGGGGGATAAAACTTCCTCGGCTATCAGACTGGGCAACTTAACATACGATCCTGGTGTTCATTTCCTACAGAAAGGAATCAGAGCTTTCATCAGCTTCGCAAAGGGTTAAGAACTGCCATTTTAGCATAAAGGATATCAGAAAGTGGCAAAGCTTGGAATTTGCTTTTCTCGACTTTCCTCCTATCTCACTAGGCAAACAGAAGCTAGTTCTCACATCTCTACTTCAGCTCCAAGGTTTTCCAAAGGAAGCTGAAGCCACAGAGCTTCACATCCTTTGCAGAGTCCTGTGTGGGAGGGAGAAAGCGAGAGAAATCTGGGCCCACATCCTAATGAGGCCATTTACCAGCAGGTGACTTAACCTGCACGAGTTGATTTCCTTGTTGATAATGACACTTATGGTTACACCAACCCTCCTATAGTGGATGAAGCAATGAATGCAGAGAGCTTCCTACCTTCCTTAATAATCAAAGCTGACATTAGCAAGTCCTTCCCATTTCCCATAACATCGCTAAGTGCTTTGAGGTACATTGTACCATTTAATCTTCACAAAAGTCCTATAGAATAGATACTATTATTATCCCCATTTAATTAAAAAAAAACCAGGTGGGAGAGAATTGATGCTTAACAATCCAGCACCTACCACTGGAAACAGAGCGGGTTCCCAACTCTGGCTGCCTGGCTCAAGAGCCCATCCTCTGAACCTGGGGCTCTACTTCCTCTACTTACACCCCACCCCCTCTGCACACACCACCTCAGAAGCTGCTAAGACAAAGCATCCAGAGAGTAAGCTCTGGGCTGTTGCTACTGGGGTGATCTGGATCGGGGAGGTGAAGTGTCTTCACAGAGTCCTTGTGACTTTTCAGGCATGTGACAGAGATGAACTGGTTGGTTAAACTCTGAGCCTTGCTTTCACCATCACTCTGGTGACAGCTACACAGACTGTCAACCTGGCTGTCTTTTGCTCTTCATGACAAACACATGGAAGGTGGCAAGAGTCATATGCCTGGTTTAAGGTTATCCATGGTCAGGGGCTTATTAGCTAGGAATTAGGAAGCTGGATCATCTTACAAATGAGAGGTGTGCTGCTCAGGCCACAACTCAGGTTAAAGACAGAAGCTCAAGAAGTGTGACCAGAATTATGAAGGTTTTAGAACTGTTATTTATTTCCAATCACTCCTGTTTACTTTACTCTGGGCTGCCCTGTGTCCAGGAAGCCCCCCCCCACCCCCCCGTTTCACGAAGTAGGGAATCAGCACCCATTTCAGACTTCCTACACTGACTGGGAGGTACAGCAGGGCTGAGAGAGCTGAGAGAAGGCCATGGACTTAGGGCTGGGGTGGGCCGCAATCTCAGGCCCTGCTCTGTGGGTCTGCCTGGCTTCTCTGCCAGAGAAGCAGAAGCTGTTGGCATCACCCACCTGATTCCCTCCATGGTTCCAGGGCTGGAAATGAACTAATTAGAGCTGATGCTGGAAAGGAACTTATTAGACATGCTCCACAATTTGGGCCTGGATTTTCCAATCAGCCATGCAGAGGCAGCTGACAAAGCAAATGCTCCCTCACCCAGCCTCAGCGGTAATTAAATTGCACACAGGGGCCTTTCAAAGATGGAGGTTCTGATTGCAGACTTTAGAAAGAGAAAAAAAACGGGCCAGGAGAACAGCGTGGGGGCATGGCATCTTCCTCCCAATCCAACTGCACCTTCAGGGGGCGCCGCCTGCTGGCCCCAAACACGCCATCTGTTGTTGGCTGCAGCTGCTGCAAGGGCAGCTGGGGTTGGGAGGCTCCCCATCGCTGCCGAGCTTCAGACCGGCAGCACGCTGGGGTCACTTGTTGGCCACGGCAGAAAGCTGGTCTCGGATGCGGCCCAGCCCGTCTAACATGGTGTCCAGCGTTTCCTTACTCAGCTCCACGGTGACTGCTGACACAGAGGGTTTGTCCCCGCACAGACAGGGGTCCTCCTGGATCTGAAAGGAGAACATGGCCACAAAATCAAATCTGCCCTTCTTCCTATTTACTGCCTGGACTTGCGAGTTTGACTGTTCTTAGGCCTCCAAGTAGGCCTAGGCCTGAAGTCACTTAGTGATGGGGAGAGCAGGTGTCCCAGAGCCCTGGCCAGCTTCCGTCTGCAGGGAGTGACCAGCGGGTATCAAGCCATGGTTCATACACTCCTCTGACACCCTAACTCAGCCTCCCTGAGGGCAAACATTACCAAGGAGGCTCTTTGAAATGTGAAGGCTCACCCTGCTGTTGTAGCTGAACTCCCCTCAGTGTACACAGTCACCTTTAGGTAGCAGCAAATTATGTTTAAAATGTGTCTTTTGTGTTTGTCTTATTGACAAACATCTACTTTGACATGTTTTACAGTGTCCCTGGCATGGTTGTGCACGCATACATTATAAATACATACTGCACTTGGGGATTCTAATATTCTCTGTGAGGGTAGAGATTCCCAAGCTTTGGACCCTGTCTTCCATGGCCCTCAGGGTGCCCCTTCTTTCTTCCTGAGGAATGTGACAGCAACCTACCTTCATCTGGAGCAGGCAGGTGGGGACGGCCATGCGGCTGATGCTATCTGAGGAGGTTTTGATGTCCACTCTCCAATCCAGATCCACCAGGCGTGGCAGGGAGACTATGGAGGAGACCGTTCAGCTCCCAGCTTATGCCCCCATGTTCACCAAGCCTGCACCCCCTGATGGGAAGCTCTGAGATCTCTACCACTATAATGCATTGACAACCCCCCCCAACAAGTCTCTGAGTGAGACAGACCTCCCCCAACTCCCTGACTGGGCCCCTCACAAGCCTCACCACTGCTGCGTGCCCCTGCACTGAGTCCTTATTCATGGGGCCGGGGGCAGCATCTCCCAGCTTCTGCCAGAACACCCAGCCCTCCAGATGTGAGGACAGAATGAGAAACGACACAGGTAGAGAAGAAGGGGCCGTGGCCTGTGTCTCAGGAAAAGTGTAGCTTCCACACTAGCGGGAAGAGCTTTCATTTGAGAGACAAGGAGACGTGGCTTGTCTATGGGTTCTATCACTTGATTAAATTCTGGGTCTGCTTCCACATTTGTAAAATGGGAATGGTCTTAGCCTAGCTCCTAGGCCTTTGGGGGGACCAATGGAGTTAATGCAGGCAGAGGTCTACAGCACTGGCACTGGCTCAGAATAAGTTTAGTGATCATTTATTAAACACCTATGTTTATTCAACCTTTCAAACTCATCTCAATGAGGGTTTACTTTTTCCTGATTGAAAATTATTTTCAGTCTTTCACTTTCTGCTTTGGATATTTCTGGTGGGTTTTTTTTTTTTTTTTATAGAGGCATGTTTTTATTTATTTATTTGTTTGTTTGTTCGTTCGTTTTGTTTATACATGCACTGGGTACAGTCAGAAGCGCGGGAGGGTGAGAGAATTCACCAGAGCCAGAGCAGGGAGCAGAGCAGGCAGAAGGACCGAAGTACACTGCTGAGGGGAGCAGCGGGCGGCAGGAGAGGTCTGCGCGCCATGTGGGACCCTCCTCCGGTGGCTGGGGAGCAGCCGGGGATCGAACCGGCGCCGCAGAGGTCGCCGGCAGCTTTGCAACCCAGCACTCAACCGCTGCGCCACCAGGGAGGCCCTCTGGTGGTTTTTTTTAACAACTATATTATATTCAGTTTATAATCAGAAAAAAAATTACAAGGTGAAATTAACAAGACAAACACAATGCACACTGTGGATTTGTGCTAGGATCGCTCACCTTGGCTTCTGGTTAAATACTCCAGTCCTAGCAGGTTTAGAGCTGGGGTTGGCAAGGAGGGGTGAAGGGGAAGAGGCACATTTCGTGGTACTTACTCTGATTTGCTTGGGCTTCTGTTCTCCAGGAAGATCTGTTGAAGAGGGAAATATGCAGAAAAAGTAATGGGAAAGCATGAGAATTAGAGACTTCAGATAATGGGGGAAGCCCTGGGCCTCCACCCCATCTGTGATTTTTAACTCTGTAGTTACCTCCTGACAGGAAAGGACCACATAACTGCTTCCCTCCAAGAAGCAGTTTTTTGGTGCATTTATTAAGTTTAGTTATGTTACAGGCCACATGTTTCCTATTAGCTTTTCTGTTAGTTAGCATTAATTTTCTGAGCTAACTGATTCCACTTAAATTGGATATGTCTAAAAGGATTTGCCAATTGGGAAATGGAGCATTCACAAAAGAAACGAAAAGGTTAATAAACATTTGACATCACCAGTATTAAAGACATATCATTTGAAATGAGGTACCATTTGCCATTTGTGAAACTAGGAAAAAAAATTTTTTTAAATCCCTCAGTGCTGGTGAAGGCTTGGGGAGAGGAGCGCCATGTCCTATGGGGAGCAAACTACCACCAAAGCTTTTTGATGGCCAACTTGATAAAGTCAAAGCCTTGATATGTCCAGTGCTTTTAATCCAGTACAGAAATAATTAAGTAATGGGTAAAGTTTGCTCCATAAATTGGCCATTGAAGTGAAAACTGCCAACAGCCTAAATTCCCACACTAAGGAATTTCTTAATAAATAAAGTTATCCATGATATCTTCATGTAAAGGAATATATTTGGCCATTTAAAATGATATTTCAGGTAAATAGTTATCGATCTGCAATACTTACTGATCTGATTAGTACTGTTAACTGAAAACAAGCAAGTTATAAAGTGGCATGATGCCTCTGTGTTACAACAGAAACAAAATCATCAACCTCTCTCAATATGTGTAAATGGGAAAAATAAAAGGTTTTTCATAAGAAATGAATGCTGCTAACCCTGGGGTTTATGGTTTTCTCCTTTTTACTTTTCTGTGCTTTCTAACTTTTCAACAATGAATATATTATTTCTAGAACAAGATACAATTCAGAAGCATTACAAGGAACCCTCAAGACATAAGCACTTACACATGTTCCAGGATGATTTTGGTCAGGAGGTTTTTGAGGTTTTGGTGGAAATTTTCAGGAAAGAGAGCCAGGATCGCCTCAGCGGAGGACAGGTCACGGAAGGTCACCAGCCTGGTGAGGCGGTGCAGAGCCTGGAGCAGCTGCAGGGCAGATGGGGGCAGCCAGGGAGTGAGGAGAAACGGTTCAGGGGCAGAGGGCAGAGGTCAGAGGTCATGGCTCTACCCCACTACGGGGAAAAGGGAGTACCACACCCTGGCATGGCCATTCAAGGGCATCCCCTGGGTCCTGAGGCCTCTGTCACAGATGCAGATGCCACATGCTTCTGTCTTCCATACCTGACTGTTGCTTTAGAGGACAGGTGTAGCAGCTGACATAGGAAGTTGTCCACTTGCCAGACACTCTCTGCTTGCAAGCAAGGGCTACTAAATCCCCTTTCCTGCTGCAGAGACTCTGACCTTCAGTCTACATTCTAGCCTATTCCCCTGGTAACCTGACACAAGTGGAAAGTCAGTGTGTTTGTAGGCCATGTTGCACTGGTCCCCTGCCCCTGCATGGGAGGACTTCTAGACACCCTAGGACTCCACACCTTTGGGTTGTCCTGAGTATGGCAGCAGGCTCCTTGCCAGATCCTGAAATTGTGCTTATTGGATTGTTACCAGAGGTACTGGTTCCAGTGGAATTTAGGCCTGGAATCCAAGGTGGTAGGAGTTGCATGTCCTTGCCCCTAATCTGTCACCTGAGAGGGGACAAAGAGCTGCAGTCCATCTGTGTGGACTCTTGTGGAAGGAGCGCATGATACTACCCTACTAGGATACCGTGATCTACCCGATATCCTTCTAAGTGAATCTGTAGCCAAATGTGGCCTATGGCTTTTTGTGGTATTACAATGATTGGCTAAACCTAGGACTTAATATTCTTTGCCCTGGGGCTTTCTCTGAAGCCATAGAAGGCTGCTTGGCTATAGAGGTACAACCTAGAGGTGAAGGGGGGAGAGCAAGGGATATATGTCCCTGCCTCCCTGCTACCCAGGAGGACCTTCCTGGGGTGTGTTCTATATGGTTTCCTACAGGATCCCAGCAACTGCTCATTAAAATACCCATTTATTAACTTCCTTTCCTTGTTTGATATCCCCACTCCCTCCTTTGTGCTTTCTAGAATCATTTCCAAGTTATTACCTGCACCTAAATCTTGGCTTAGGGTCTGCTTTTGGGGAATGTAAATCAAGTCTCCAACACAATTCCATTATCCTCTACCTTTTACTGTTCTGTAGCTCACGTCAATGAGCAAAGCTCCAGATTGAAAAATAATAACATAGGCCCCCTTTCGATGAACTCCTGTTTTAGAAACATATTTGCCCTGGAAAGATAAGGCTGTGAGTGCTTCATAACTTGAGTCACCTTGCTCTCCCTCTTGGTCACCATCTGAAATCAGCTAAGGTCCAGCAGCACATCCTCCCAAATTATACTCCAGCCTCAGAGCTTCAGCCTGCAATCCCTGAAAATTCTGCACTAAGCTATTCAGTTGACAGTTTATCAGGATCAGCAAGCTACAGGCTGGGAAAGAAAATCACACAAAGGTTGGCTTTTATCCATACTGTCTACGTGACAAGTCTGAAAAGGAAATAGTCAAGAACTCATATTCTGGGTAGAGTTCTCTTAGCCAAGCCTCATTTATAAGGAAGTGAAGATTTAAAGACAATAGCTTTTTAAGTTCACTAACATAATAAAAGCATCCATTTCAAATCTGCTATAATAGCAACAAACATTTCAGGCATTAGACTTCCTTGGATGTAGCAGTGACAGAGAAGCCAAGAAAAAGACAAACGAGTTGAGAGCCCAGTGACCAAAGGTCATTTCTGACCACACTTACTTGCTCTGCCTCCTCCTGGGTCACAGACAGGCTGGAACATGTGATATCCAAGAGCTTTTTTGAGCCAAGGGCTGAACTGGAAAAGCTCTCTTGGCACAGTTGTCTGACAACATCTTTCGAGGAGGCCTATAAATTAATTCACAGATGGAAGCAAAAACTCAGATTCTGAAAAATAAGTTTCAGAACACAAAATTTTCTCAATAATGGCATAATACCTTTGAGGTTCAAGATTTAAAGATGCATTAGACACTTCTAATTGGGGATTAGGTGTAGCTGATATACTTTTCCCTGCTTTTCCAGTTAAGCAAAACTAAAATTCCTGGACATGATATAGAAAACAAACATAAGATGACTCTAAAAGAGAGGACACACATCTGCTTTGGACCTCACAACCAAGACATGGCATGGTGCTAAGTTCCCTGGGTTTTATTTTTGTTCATATATCCAAAACCTCCAGCTGAAAAAGAGGGCAACCCAGAATGTCAATGGGCTCAGGAAGAGAAAAAAAGCCGCCAACAAATATTTGCTCTGTCTAGCCAAAGGACCAAGAAAGAAGCAGACAGCAAGACAAAACTTTTTAGAAAAGAATGATCCTACTCCAGCCAAACACCACAGAAAGAACTGTGGCCCTGGCCACAGCCACGTCAGCAAAGGCTGAGTGGGGAGCTGACTTCCACCCTTGTGAGGCTATAACAAGGTGTCCCAATGCTCTTGCCAGATTAGTGTCCAAAAAGGTAAGATAGGGAGCTGGGACTTTATCCCTGCCATCAGTAACCTGTCCTACTGCATGTGGTATTAGTGGAGACTACATGAAGCCAGAACTCCCACCCACCCCTGCCCAGTAGTAACAAGGGGCTCTCTGGGGTGTCAACAGAATCCAAGTGGGGAACCCAGACTTCACCTTCAACTGGTGGTAAGGAAGCACTCCCTCCCCCTACTTGCTGAGCAGTGACAGAGAAAGCCAGTAAAAGCAAAAGATGTAAATAAGATCCAGACTCTCAGCAAGTAATATAAAGATGTTTAGGTCTCAAATGAAAATCACTCATCATACCAAGAGCCAGAAAAATCTCAAACTGAATTAAAAAAGATAACCAATAGATGACAACACCAAGATGACAGATATTAACATTATCTGACAAAATATTTTAAAGCACTTAAAATGTTTCAATAGATAACTGAAAATATGCTTAATTATAAAAACAAAACATGGAAATTCTCAGCAAAGAAACAGGAAACATAAAGAACAAAACAGAAATTTTAGAACTGAAAAATACAATATCCAAAATAAAAAGTTCAGTAGATTGGTTCAATACCAGAATGGAATGATAGAGGAAAGAATCAATGAACTGGAGGACAGCACAACAGAAATTACTCAATTTGAACAGAGGAAAGAGGCTGAAAATAATGGACAGACTATCAGGAACTGTGGGACTATAATATAAAATCTATCACTCAAGCTTTGGATTCCTGAAAGGATAGGACAAAAGATAGCAAGACTGAAAAAGTATTCAAACAATGGCTGAAAACTTTCTAAGTTTAGCTATTAATATAACATTGTACATTCAAGAAACTAAGTGAATGCAAACAGGTAAATCCAAGGAATCTATGCAGAAACATCATTATTAAAGTTCTAAAAAGTAAACAATGAAAAAAATCTTTAATGAGGGAGAACCAAAACTTATCTGTAACAGATTTCATATCAGAAAACACAGAAGCAAGAAAAAGTATATTTTTCTTGCTGGGGAAAAAAGAAGTGTCAACCTGAAATCCAACATTCAATAAAACTATCTTTCAGGAATTAAGAGAAAATCAAGATGCCTCAGATGAAGAGAAACTAATACAATCTGTCTTATTTCCAAGCTTAAAAGACAGGCAAAAAGAACTTCTCTAAAGAGAAAGCAAACAATAAAAGAAGGAGCTCTGAAACTTCAGGAAAAATACAGGACATGACATGCAAAATACAGTGTAAACAGCTTTTCCTTCTTTTCAGTTTCTAAATTTTGTAGAGGGAATATCAAAAACAATTATATTAAAAAAGAAGAAATGTGAACAGACATAAAGAGAGATAATCTGTTGAAACATTTATACTTCACTCTAGTGATATGATTACAGTGACAGACTGTGATAAATTTTGTGTATATATAATGGAATAGCTAGAGCAACCACTGGAAAGGCATTAAATAGAAATGCATTTTTTAAAACTATAGATAAATCTAAGTCGAAGTCTAAAAATTATTCAAATAACCCACAGGTAGACCAGAAGCAAAAAAAGAAATGAGAGAACATAAAACAAAGCAAAAAATGGAATGTCAAATTTAAGGCTAACATATTAATAATTACATATTGATAATTGGATAAAAATCGGATAAAAATATGTCTGAATTAAATTCTCTTTAAATGTAATGATATAGACTGGTTTAAAAGTAAAATTATAGAAACAGATATAGCATGCAAAACTTTAAAGGAAACAATATTATCAGTTAAATCGCACAGTAAAGAAAATTACCAGGACAGGGACAGAAACAGACAATATATAATGATAAAAGATTTTACTTGTTGAGATACTCTAAACATGCATGCAACCTAACAAGAGAGCAGCAAAATATGTGAAGCAAAAAACAAACAACTGAAAGGAAAGAGAAAAACCCATAAATATACAGAAGACTTCAACACCCCTCTTTCAACAACTGATAAAACAACTTGACAAATATTCAATAAGGACACAGAAGTACTCAACAACAACACCATCAATCAATCTAATTGACATTTATGGAGCACTCTACTCAGAAACAGCAGAATATACATTCTTTATAAGTGCCCACTGAACATATACCAAGATAGATTATATTCTGGGTCATAAAATAAACCTCACTAAATTTAAAAGAACTGAAAACGCGTAAAGTGTGTTCTCAGTAATTACAGTGGAATCAAACTAGAAATCATAACATACATAATAAGAAAATATCTAAATACTTGGAAACTTAAACAACACACTTGCAAATGATCAATAGAGCAAAGAGAAAGACTTAAGGAAATTTTAAGTTACACTGAATGAGTGGAAATGAAAAAACAACATAAAAATTTGTGGGACAGAGCCACGGTGGTGCTAAAAGGGAGATTTATAGCATTAATACATACATTAGAAAATTAAAGTCTCAAATCATTAAAGCCCCACCTCAAGAACCTAGAAAAAGAAGAGTATTATAAAAACAAAGGAAAAAGGAAGCTTTTCCCCTGGAATAAATCCCACCTGATCATAGTGAGTAATCTTTTTCATATATTGCTGAATTCTATTTGCTAATTATTTTATTTGAGATTTTGCATGTGTTTTTATGAGGGATATTGGTTTGCAGTGGTAGTTGTTTTTGTACCATGATTTTGGTATCATGGTAACACTAGCTGTATGAAATGAACTGGGAAGTGTTCTTTCCTCTTCTGTTTTCTAGAACAGATTGTGTAGAGTTAATTCTTTAAATGTTGTTTAGAATTCTCCAGTGAAAACATCTAGACCTGGAGATTTTGTTTTTGGAAATTTTAAAATTATGAATTCAATTTCCTCAATAGTTACAAGGCTGTTCAAATTGCCAAATTCATGTTGGGGGAGCTGTATTTAAAAACAAAAAAAAAATTACTTTTATTTATGCATACAAAAACTGGGCTGCAGGCCGGAGATGGTGTGTGTGTATTCATCAGGGACAGAGTGGGGAGCAGAACAGGCAGATCCACTGAAGTACACTGCTGAGGGGAGCAGCAGGCAATACAGGAGAGGTCTGCCTTGCTGTGTGGGCTAACTCCCTGGCCGGGGATGGTACTTGTGCTGCAGTGGCTGCCCAGAGCTTCACTGTGCAGAGACTTTGCCCCTTGCGCCACCAGGGAGCTCCCAGTTGTATTTTTTTTTAGGAATTGTTCCATTTTCTTACATTGTCAAATTTATGTGTAGAGTTGCTTGTATTCTCTTACTTTCCTTGATATCTGCAGGGTCTCTAGTGATATGCTCTGTTGCATTTCTGATATTGGTCATTTGTATCTCCTCTCTTTGTCAGTCATGCTGTTTGTCGGTGTTATTGATACTTTCAAAGCACTTGTGGGGGCCGTGGGATGAAATGGGGAAGTGGTAAAGCGAATGTAGGAACTACCACCCGAATGCCCCATCCCAAGAGTTAGTCCCAGAGACTATTAGTCCGGGGCACTGGTGCAGCGCATTCAAGTCTGTTATCTATTTATTACCCCACCATCCGGTATTTTGTTCCTGCTTTTAAAAAGCTCAGACAAGCTCAACGATCTGTCTAGTGTCACACAGATGCAGTGGCAGAGCTGTTCGTCCAAATCGGTCTATTTATTCCCAATTCCTGATCCGCCCAAATGCCCAAGGACAAACGCTTGTTTCATGCTGTCCCCACCCCTCACATTTACCTTCAGCAGGCTCTGCAGCGCGGCAAAATTTTCTGCTGTCACAGCAGCCATCTTGTCCGAGTCATGTGACCACGACACGGGGAGGAAGTAGGTCACGTGCCTCAGAGGGTAGCGAGGCATGCCGGGGGCTGTAGTCCTCAGGGAGGCGGGAGGTACCGGTTTGTGGCGCTGTGAAATGGGGTGCGACCAGGCAGCATGTGATGCTGGAGTGCTCAACCCGGAGTTGCTAGCACCTTGACATGGGGAAGACGAAGGCGCGGGAAAGGAAATTCACTATCCTCGTCTATTTATCAGGTCGGGGAAACTTTTTCCCTTGACCCACCTGGGTGGGCTGGCTGATTTGGGGAGTGCACCTGCGGGCTTGACAGGCTTCTCAAAAACTTAGGTTTTCTTTAATTCCTGGCCGCTTGGAATTAAAGTGTGGCTATATATTTTGGAATTCTTGGGATTGAGGACTTCACGCTCCCCACCCTTCCACCCCCCTGTCCCGAAGAATGTAAAATTGCTTTCATATGTATCCTGCCTGTCTTTCGGGATAGGTAGGAGCTGATCTTATTTCTTATCCTGACAAAGAAACTGAATCACTTGTTTTTCATTGACTTTCCATAGACCCAGGAGAGATCTGTTTTGACGAGCAAGTGAAGATGTTTTTTGGGAGAGAAGGTAGGAATGGAATCTAATGAAAGGTACTACCTACCAAGCTCCTGTTACACCTATGACCAGCTGATTGGGGAAAGGGTTTGACTTGTTCCATAATGTAATCATAACAGATGTAAGAGTGGTTTTGAGTGGGCAGGATAGGGCTCTGATATACCAAAGGTTCAGAGTTCCTACTTTGAAACAGATTCAAATTGTAGTGTCCTGGAATTTGGTTTTAAAGAAACCACCTGCCTCTTTTGCCCTCCAACCCCCCAGTTCTGGCATTTTTCCTTATGCACCTTTGATATCTGCTTGACTCTGTCTAGGTTCTGATAAATTCGAGTTGAAGAAAGAATAATCTAATTGTGAAATTCCATACCTTGATAATCTGCTAAGGTCATTGTCTCTCTGCCTCCCATCTCTCCCCTCTTCCTATTTTCTCTTCTATTTTCTCTGGGGGTGTTGTCCAGCCTCAGGGAAGCAAACCTAGCCTGAGAATGTACACATATCTGGGTTTTAGAACCACAGGTCACTGAGTCCTGATTCCAGCTCTCTTTCTTGGCCCTCCCCTCTCCCTTCTCCATGGTTTAATTCTTGTTTTCTGCCTTAAGTCACTATACACTTTAGTTTACTCCTGCCTGTGCTCGGAGGGCCCAGCCCAGTGACTTCCATAAATTAAATGTTTATTAAATAAACACCCATGCACCCCAAAGTGGTTTGCTATAATTAATTTCTGAGACTTTTCTGCAGGGTATTGCCTTAGTGTTTGCCTGATTGTGACTTCTTGTCTTACTTTAGAAAGATGGACAGTATGCTCACCAGCCTCCAAGATGATCCCCCAGGGATCCGTGTCATTAGATTTCCCCACGCTTTGAGAGTCCCCCTCCCTCATTGTGTGACCAGTGGCTCATGACAGAAATGATGGTCCATCTTTTCGAAGATTAGCTGTAAAAGACTGTGTCTCCTGAATGCTCTCTCATTTGCCTGCTTTCTTTTTCTTGAATCTCTTGCTCTGGGAAAAGCAAGGTACCATGTTGTGGGCAAGGTCATGTGGTAAAGAACTGAAGCTTCTGGCCAATAGCCAGCAATAGTCATCCACAAACTTCATTACTAAGATTGGGGAAATATTTTCCAGCCCTGCTAGAACTTTGAGATGGCAGTGGCCTTGGCCAACATCTTGACTGCAACCTCATGAGAGATTCTGAGTCAGAACCAAATAGCTAAGCCAGTCCTAGATTTCTGATTTCAAAATCTGTGTGATAAATAATGTTTGTTGTTACAGTAATAATAACTAATGCATGGGGGTAGTAAAGCATGGAGGATTTAGAAGTCAACCTAAACTTGAATCTCAACACATGTTATTAACTGTACCTTGAGCAAAGGTAAGAGTTCTCACATGTGCAAAATGGTGTTGCTCTCCCCTACCTCAGAGACCAGAATTGAGTGGTAGGGGCTGCCCAGTGGGAGGATATTCATGGAATACCATTACTTTGCCCACTTCACCTTATGGGGAAACTGAGGCACAGAGAGGTTAAGCAACTTTTTCAAGGCCATACTGCTAGGTAGTCGCAGAGCCCAGATTCAAGCTTAGGAAGTCCAGAATCTGTGCTGTTAACCTCCAGCCTGCGCATGTCCCCTTTTCTGCCTATAACTGAAAACTCAAACTTCTCTCTGGGTGTCTGACTACCTTCTACATGGAAACAAGAAAAATCTAAGAGTATTTTTGGACAATCAACCCAGTGGCATGGTGAGAGGCCACAGGATGAGTGGAAGGGGTACACTGAACTTTGGAAAAAGACCTAGATTCTATTCTTGGCTCCTGTTTGCTTCTGGCAAATTACTTCAGGTCTCTGATCCTGTTTCCTCATCTGTAAAATGGAACAATAATAAAAATACCTTTTGGCCATTAGGGGGAGCCCAAGGATGACTTATAACCAACATTAGTTGCAGGGAGACTGCATTCTAGCCTTTGACATCTCTAAAGGGCAGATCTCTCCCGGGTTATGGGAGAGGATTTGCATTAGGATGATCAAAGGTTTCAGTTTACCCCGAATAAGGGATTGCCTGGGACCCAAGACTTTCAGTGCTATCACAAGACAGTCTTGTAAGTTGGTCACTGGAGTTTAGTCCAGAGCCTTAAGAGAAACCATCCCTTTGGAGTTCTTGTTCTGTCTTCTCCAGTGGGGCTGATGTAGAGAGAAGGATATGGGCACAGAAATTTTTTATAGCAGATGATTGAGTGCAGCAATCTTAGTTTTAGATTTTGTTTTTTTGGTGATGACTTTACAGAGATGCAATTCATTGACACAAATCACCCACTTAAGTAGACAACTCAGTGGATTTTAGTGCACTCACATGGTGTGTAACCATCACGACACTCAATTTTAGAACTTATTTACAGCCCCCAAAGATACTCTCATGCCCCCAATTGTGTCCATCACACCCCTAGACCATTATGAATCTTCTCTCTATAGAGCTGCCTGCTCTAGACATTTCACAGACATGGAATCATGTATTTGTCTTTTTCATTTGTGATTTTGTCCAATTAGTCCACAGTTTTCAAGGGTTATTCACATTGTAGCATGTGTTAGTATTTTCTTGCTTTTGATCATTGAATAATTTCCATTGTCTGGATAAACCACAGTTTGCTGGATAAACCACAGTTGAATAGCTTGTTTCCACCCTTTGGGAACCACGAACAATGCTGCTGTAAATACTCCTGAACAGGTTTTTATGTGGATTTGTGTTTTTATTTCTCTTGGGATATATCCCCAAGAGTGGAATTGCTGGATCAGTTTTTGAGAAGCTGCCAAACTGTTTCCCAAAATGATGGCACCATTTTGCATTCCCATCAGCAATGTAGGAAGTTTCCAATTTCTCTACATCCTCATCAACACATATTATTACATGTCTTTTTTTATTTATTTATTCTAGCCATTCTAGTGGGTGTGTGGTGGCATCTCACTATGAGTAATCTTGTTTGAAAGTTGCATTTTCCTAGCAAGTACATTTTGTCACTTAGATACTCTTGCTTATTTGAGGCAACTGGTGGAGGTTAGGGGAGTTTAGCCCCTGCCTGCCCTTCAGTCCCACCATGAAGTCCTGATTCCTTCATCAGAGGAACACCTGCCACAGGTGCAATAGGCCACAGTGCCTGTGGTTCTTTGGATGATCACCCCACCCCCAATTTCCTGGCTGTCCCTCTTGCTGGCCCTGAATCCATGGGCTGAGATCAGAGCAGGTGTTCAGTGACTGGGGAATATTCTGTCTTTCTGGCTTTATTCTACCGGTCCTAAACCAAGGGGTGGCTTTGCAATGACCTGATCAGCTCACCAGAGACTGCAGGCAAGCTGGGGACACAAGACTGAAAATAGGAGGCCTACCCTGGCTGGGACGTGCCATCTGTCCAGATGGGGCATCACAAGCTGCATAACATGGTCTCACATGGCATGGACGATGTCTTAGTTCTGACGGAGTGTTAACATTGGGAGATTTGACACAAAATTCCATATTTCTGGCTTTTCTTTAAATATTGGCTGCTCCCGCCTTTCCACACAGCAGCTATTGCTGAAATTGAGTGCTGGTTGCTCCCCTGAAGACTGGTTGACTGACTTCTCTGCCCTCCCTGTTGTGGCACAGCTGGCCTTTTCCATGTGCACTTATCACCTGCCTTTCCCCTGAGAGTATCTACTAGTGTCTAACTTCCTCAGCACCTAATGGGGTAAACTCAGGCCACAATAGGCAACAAGACCCATTGTGGGGATTTGGGCTCCTGTCTTTCTAGCTGTCTCCACACAGCTCCTCATGGGCCAACATGAGTTGCAGGGGTAATGTGCCTTCTAATTTATTATTCACGCTTCTGGAGTGGTTTTTATGGATGATGCACTAAAATTATGAACTCACTTAATCCTTAAAGTAGCCCAAGAATAATCCCAGTTCACAGGTGGGAAACGTCAGAGAAAACACTCACAGTCCATGGGAGGTTAGTGGCAGAGTCAGCATTTGAAGGCGGGAGCAAATGAGGCCCTTTTGTGAGCTTGTTCATAGACTAGTGTCTGGTATGACGGGGGTCTGTTGGCTACATCGAGATCCATCTGGCCTTAGCAACTGCCACCAGTATGCTGATATACTAAATATGCTACTACGCTGATAGGCTACGTAGCTGGGCATGGTCCTTGACAAGTGCCATCACTAAGATCAGGAGTAGGTGATATATATATTTGGAGAGATGATATTTGTGATTCAACTCTAGCTTTTTTTTTAAGATTTATTTATTTAGGCATATAAGATCTGGGGTACAGGCCAGAGGTATGGGGGCATGAGAGGATTCACCAGAGCCAAGGTGGGGAACAGACTAGGCAGACTGACTGAAATACACTGCCGAGGGGAGCAGTGGGCGAGGCAGAAGTCTGCTGAGCCATGTCTGTAGTGGGCTGAAGTCTGCAGTGGGCTGTAGTCTGAAGTCTGCTGAGCCATGTGGGTAGGGGCTGCAGATAGCTTCATAGTGCTGGGCTTAACACCTTGAGCCACCAGGGAGGCCCTCAACTCTAACTTCTGATGAGTCTCTAAAAGCTGGTAGAAGAGGAGAGTGAGGAATAAGGGCATTTGGGGATTTGCTTGCCTAGGAGGCTGGCTCATACCTAGTTGGTTCCCCCCGGTACTGAAGGCCATGGCTGGGAGACTACATTTCCTCTCCCAGCTCTGACAATGGCCTGGTGACTATGATTAATCAAGTCTAAGCGCATCAGATCCCGGAGGGTACTGTGTCCTCATTTCTCATCTTCCCTTCCCCAAGAGAAGTGCAGAAGTGGCTGGTGACACACGGCATTGTCCTCACACACACAGGGTCCCTTTGTTTCCTTGACACGCGGCGCAGCCCGGCTGTGCTAATGGCCTTGACTGGCACTTTACTCTCCTTTCTCCAATGTTACACTTGTTTTTTCAGTTTGGGAATCTGCTAAACAATGATTTCCTGCAGGGGTGTGTCATTTTTTCATCTTTTCTGCCTACATCTCCCTCAGCCC